TCGTTGATATGTATTTAAATGCCCAACTGAAGGCCACATCAAGTGTTTAATTTATTTGTGTGTACTAGGTATTGAATAAAATCGACTTCATATGAATACGAAAATAGATCTACTAGTAACTGGGCACAAGCGGTACCCATGGTAGTTGCAATAGGTTGTTGCACATGCGCTGTTCTTAAGAACCGTTTTTAAAACTGAATGCCATTGGCAAAAATAGTACATTGAAAAAACAGAAGTAATATATCTGTTTCCTTATGGAAAAAAACTGTATAATGTTTGAATACAATGAAACATCGAGATAACGAGCAGTGTTCAAGCTCAAAAGTTTATAAAACAATACAAAATCGAAGCGAGCAAACACAAACCTCCAAAACATCAGAGCTGACATTGAAAGTCAGGAAGGAGTGAGTATCCTTTACGACCGTTCACACCTGCCGTGTGCTCCTTGTCATGATCAGATCATAACGTGAAAAGGAAAACATCAGTCAGCATTTGACTCAATGATAAATGATATTTGCTGACAAGGTCATTGTATCAACCATGCAACTTACGATATTATGACTTCAAACGAGACTGTTGATATTCGTGTTTCATCAACTTTGTTTGTCAGCACTTTACCTCGTTTTAGAAATTGTTTATACCTAAAGCATGCTCTTTCATATTGGATAAATTGCGATATTATCTTGTACTTTTAAACTCTGTATGCAGCTTACGAAAGTATATTGCTGCATAATTAAGGGAAGTTGATGATAAAAATATTAATATCACGTTATCATAGAATTTGGTTGTTACATTTATGTCCTTTTCAAGTAAAATATCCAAATATGAAACAGATGTGTCAGACTCTGCGGCATCTTTTATTTCAAGCTCACCAGGATATATCGTATTAACATAAGAATTGAAATTACCATTGTTAATTGACAATACGTCGTCAATATATCTAAATGTCAAATTGAAGGTCACAGCAAATGTATCTTCTTTTCACGCTTAAGATTTTGAACAAATTATGCTCCATATGAAATTGGTTTGCTGATAACGGGGCGCAATTGGTACAGTGCCGATTCCAATGGATTGTTGGAAGATCTGAACTCCAAAATCATAAATCGTAATTTTGCAAATGACCAATGACAAGGTAAGTAAATTTATGAGTTCCATTTTTATTGAAAAAGCAGCTGCCAATGTTATCAAAAAGACTGGGGAATGGTTGTGTATAAACTTGAAAAGTTATAAGTTTTTAAGCATGTTTTACAACGGCAGTGCAGGACCTTTGGCTAGCTAGGATGCCCTATCTTATGTACACGAATTTATATACATCGTTTGATCACACTGAAAATTAAAGAAAGCTATCTACCATGCATGGTACATTTATTTTTTATTTTTGAAATTTGCCTACGGTTTTGTTGTGAAATTCTTTAAAATGCAAAAATGATATATTTTTTGCGGCCGACTTGATGCTCTGCCTCAATTCAAACTTGTAAATTTTGTATCACTCTAAAAGGGGTCATTTTTCAATAGGGGTCAATTTTTATAGGACTCACGCATAAAAAAAATGACTCCTGGGGTCTTTTTTTCAAAAAATGTTTTTTTTTTTCATTTTTTGTCGTTGAAAAAATGACCCCGGTCATTAAACCGAACAATTATTAATAGCATCACCACATACTTCAATTGACACAAATTAAAAGAAAACAGAAGAATCAGCAGTATCTGTGGCAATTACATAGAGAACAGAAATTTCACAAAAAAGTAAGGCTATCAAAATCAATATACATCTCATATTTCTTTCTTATCAATAATGTTTTAAACAATGATTCATTTCATTTAAGAGTAAAATTGAATATGAATGAAAAATATAAGTGAAGGATATGGAGATAACGAATATTATTCAAGTTAAAAAGTCAATTAAAAAAAACAAAATAGGAACAGAGCAAACACGGGCCTCCAAAAAATCAGGTGGGATCAGGTGCCATGAAGTAGTGAGCAATCCCTCTTCAGATTGGTCACACCCGCCGTATGGAGCGCTCCTTGTCATGATCGGAAAATAATGGAAAAATCTGCCGTCCATTCAGTACATGTATGTAAATAATGGACAAACAATTTGTATTATAAACGTCAGTCAACATTTGAATCGATTATAAATTGTATTTGCCGACAAGGTCGTTGTATCGACCATAGATCTTACTAAATGTTGAGTGCTGATATTATTGTTTCATTAACTTGTTTGTAATAATTTACCTTGTTTTATAAATTTTACATACATAGAGCATGTTCTTGCGTATCTAATCAACTGAGAGATATATAATCCGTATGTATGTGAATCAAGTGAGTGGCATGCTAACGGTTTGTAAATGATTTTGTCGAACACTGTTTTTGTAATCTTATTCCTGACCGGTGTAGTCTTCAAATCAATTGAATGCACTTGCGCTGTAGATTTTGGTATAAATACACAGGTTCGATTAGAATAACTTATCCCGCCAGTCAGTTTCAAGGTCACAAAACCTCGTGGTTGTGCTGTCCATATAGTTATCTGCTTTTGTAAGCCTTTTATAAAACTTTTTTTTTTATTTTCAGTCTATTTGACGAAAATTTTTTATTGCATAAATATCTTATGTATATTTTTAGACAATAACTTTATTGCTTTTTTTCTTTTTTTTTTTTTTTTTTGCTGTTCCTTGCCAGGCGATTAGACACACACTGATTTGTCCACGGGGTTTTCCGTTTTTCTCCGAACATGACAAAGGATACACGATGGTTGTGACCGGTCAGCAGGGGAAGCTCACTCCTCCTTGGTACCTGATTCCACCCCTGATGATTTGGAGGTTCATGTTTGCACCTCTCCTATTTTATAATGCTTGATGGGCTTTTGAGCTCGTGATTTCCACATGTTTCAATAAAATACTATTTAGTTTTCTATATTTCAGCAAAAATGACCGCCCATCTCCCTACTGGTACGTACCACCATGTTAAGGCTGCTTAATTGTTCCCGAATGCATTCGGCTTGCAAAAATATTATTACCAAAATAGTTTTGGCATCAAAATATGACACGGGACATTTTACAACAATCCAAATGGAGTACAATAACCCCAATGCCATACTTTGTACAAAATGTGGGTCATTTTCCTATATAAAAGATTAACCAAGGAGTCAAGTTTCTATGTATAAAAATGACCCCTTGTCAATTTCCTACGGGGATTACTTTTCGTCGTTTCACAGGGACGAAAAAAAACCATCATTGGTATGTAACGTGACCCGATCTTGGGTGTTACAAAAATTATGTTAGTCCTCTTATTCCTGTGATTTACCTTAATTAATCAACAAGATTTGTTTATCTATAAAAATGAATTTATTCAAACAATAACAATAATGATTTATGATTAATTAAATACAAACAGAGTATACTTATGGATAATGGGACAGGATATATAATAGTCAGCTGATTGGTTTCCTCAATATCAACAATGGGATAGTACGTTCAGCTGATTCAAGTTGGGTCAGGATGTATAACAATTAGGTAGACTGGGTTACCCAATATTGGTAAATCTACCCAATGTGAGGGCCTCAGTTTTTACCCAATGATGGGGAGTTGGGACTCTGAGTTGGTCAGATGTTAAAGGGGCTGACCAACCTCCCAGACTGAAGAAAAAGTCTAAAGTGCCTTCTTTATATACCTTTTGGTATTCCGGTGCGAATTAGTTCACGCGCGAATAACAAGCTGTAACAAGACCTTTCATTGAATGCCAAGAACTTTGATACTTTGACCTTGAACTTCGAGTAAGACCTACTTTTCAAAAACTTTTACCTTGGCCATAACTATTGAACGGTTAGGGTTACAGTTTTCATCTTTCACATATGTACTACTTGTGACCTTTCTTAAGACTTTAACAACTCAGACCCTTTCACCTTGGAGTTTGACATATCTTTCAAAAATTTATCCTTGACTATAATTTTTGAACAGGTGGTGCTAGGGATTATGTATTTCAGTATCGTATTTTTGTGGAAAAACCCTACCTTGGGTAATAATTTATTTCATTTGCATTTAAGAAAAGTTTAATCTTCGTTATGTTGCCTTAAGGGGTCATCAGTGTTACAAAAACACATCTTGCTCCTTATATTGAGAAGAGATATAGGGCTTTTATTTTTGACATGTGCATTACCCGTGACAAGATATTTCCAAGCATGCTATGATTTCTTACCCCTTGACCTTGACCTTCACGATTGGTCTTATTTTTAGAAAAATCAACTTCAGTGATAATTTCGAAACAAATAACATATGATAGTGTGTTCATATTAAACAAAATATGTCATAAAAAACTGAAATCTCACCAACAAAAACACCGAAAGCGTGGGACCACAATTCTTTGAATTTGCTTGTTGCCATTTAAGCAGAAGTTTTAGAAAAGATTCAAGCATATTTGCAAGATGTTGAGATCTCAATTTCATATTGCTTACAACTTAGAGGTTACCTTTCTCTTACTATATATCATAAAATCACTCAAATTAATTCACGTTGAAATTAAATACTGACTCGCTAAATTTTCGTCTCGCTATAAATTCCATTTTTTTTACGGTATTTCATATCTTAACTAATGTGTTATTTACTGTGAAAAGAACAAATGTGCGACAAAACACTCTCATTTTTCAAAAATGTTTAGAAAGAATATCATACGAACAACAAGGTTTAATTGACCTTCATGAAATTAAAACTATCATTTTGAAAGTTCTTTTTTTTATCTTAATCAATGCTTTAGATGCATGTTTGCACGTATAATTTCTTTAAAAGGTTTGCAAATGAGCAGACGAATGTGTAAAGAATTCGCTACTGCAAAGAGGAAAAAAACACAGAAAATGTCAAAAAAAAAAAAAAAACCACACACACACACACACAAAATCATTTTTTCTTTTATTGATTTTGTAAGGGCTACCTTTTATTCACTTGATGAATACATGTATACACTTACAACGTTAATTTTTTTAATTCATAATTTTTTCTGTTATTTAGAATGTCCCAGAGGAAGCTTCGGAATAAATTGTAAATTACAATGCATGCCAGGTTACTACGGAGATCTTTGCAGGCTTCCCTGTGAATGTTATGCTCACCAGTGTGACCCAGAGTCTGGATGTAAAGGGACTATCTCTCCAACACAGGAAGAACACAATAATACTAGCACATGGACGTTGGTTATCGTTTTCATCATTGGTTCAGTAGCAACACTCCTCATCAGCTGCATATGCCCGTACTTGTGGATCTCAAAACGGTACAAATTAGTTCTTATGCTTATGTAAACTTTGTCTTCATGCTATCTACCTTAGATATTAAGACAGTGAGGTAAGCTGAATTAGACCACAGGACAAATGGATGGTGTACCCAAATTCCAGCTTCTGAGATATCTGAGTTACTAAAACTTACCAGTGTGCATTATTTTCTGATCTGTCATTTTCTATATTATCTTTCGATATCTGATATCATTTTCCGCTTTTGTTGAGATTATGAGATTAGCTCCACACGGTACATGTACCGTCTAATAAAAATTCTCATCCGTCAGCTGCCTGTGATCAGACAAGAAATTAAAGTAAAAGTAAAAATTCTGTTCTAAAGATTTGAAAAAGTTTAAAATCTTAGGGCAAAAATCATCCGCTAGAATCTTTCCCAAAATATAAAGACAAAAGTTCATCATTCACTGAAATAAGTTAATATGAAGAAAGAGTAATTTAAAACTGGTGATTCTTTTCCTCGGTATATATAGTTATATTGATAATGTAGATAAAAGAATAATCATATCCCTGGGAAACTATCATTTCAGTTCAGTTTGAATATTTTTATTATTGCAAAACTCCTTAACAGGTGTACACCACGTTTGCGATATCCCAATACCAACCCAACAGATTTGGATGACACACTTACGGTCCAAGTCGTAAATACATGTAAGCAGTCTCCCGACCATGCCGAAATCTGCGACACTTTAAACAGTTCTCTCAGTCAGTCCAAGGATGGTGAATTCACTACAACCGAAAGTGATGTAATGTGCAAACATGAAATAGAATATGTAGAAAAAGAGGAGAAGTATGGTGGATTACCTGAAGATGGCGAGTATAACAGATTGCAGTTGAAAACGAATATAAGTCTCAAAAGACAATATATACGGAGGAAAGATAAAGACAGTGAAAAATTTTTGGCACTGAAGAGGGTAGAATTCAGTGGGGTTAACACAGAGGATCAATTCTATTCCATACCTCAGATGTCACAAAATGAAAACAAATGGGCAAATCCATCTCAAATTGATTCTCTGTGTACTTCAGAATATGACGTTTTGAGTATTGATAATATTTCTCCAAAAACTTTTCCAAATTTTAAGGAGATGCCGTCTATTTCTGTTGAGAATGAATTAAAAGGCACCCCGGTAATTGTCGGTGAACCGCAATATAGTCTCGTTAAGTTATGTAATATTGAAGATGACAGAAACAAGAGTGCAGAGTCACAAACTACACATTTGTGAGATTATCTAACAGTTTGTTCATTATTTTTATTCAGACATGTAATAAGAATATGATGTGGTTTCAATGCAAATATGGTTCTGTATTTCTTTTATTTATTATTTATGAAATTGGTGTTATTAATTAAAAACTAATCTTCCTCAGCTGTTTAAACTCTGTGTAGTGATCGAAGCCATGCAAATCAGTTTACGTATAAGGCTACAACGTACGTCGTATTTCTACAATGGTCCTCCTTTATGCCAACATATTCACGACTATATCATTCACATTTTCATTTAATATATCTTATTTTAAGGTCATTATAAAGAAAACTCGTCCTTTCTTCCTTTTTCTTGGCTTACGGAGAACGGAAAAGCACTTCATTCGTATTTTTGTTTTAGCTTTCGAATTTGATCAGAGATTTTTGCAACTTTTCTGCAACATTATGTCTGAGAAAGTTTGTCCTTATGAAAGATTCATTGTAGTTTGTTAAGGTTTTTAATCTGGACACTCTTCCATATTGCGCCATATTAAATTGCGTCAACAGAGAAATATAATCTCCATATGTAGTTGATAAGTTATTACTGCATAAGTACAACAATCTTGAAAAATTAAATCTTTGTTGTTAGATTACAATTCATATCCTTCTCCAGTAAAATATCAATATGAAATAAATGCGTAAGCCTCTGTTGTATTTTTTTTTATTTCATGCTCACTGGGATGGGATTCATAAGGATGACATATAAAAGGAATTCAGTATTGTTTAGTGGTAATAAGTCGTCGATATATCTAAATTTCATGTTAAAGGCCATGGCAGGTGTTTTCTATGACTCGCTCGGTTCTCCATTTGAAAGCAGATAGTTTTCTACAAGTCAAGCGGAATAAGGCTAAATTACATTAATCTTGTAAAAGATTTAGATACAGTGATAGGGAATCATTTTAGAGAACATCTTTTTACCTCAGTATGTGATTGTTACATGGAAAATAGATTTTTATTCATACCTAATATAAAATCGATGAAAGATGTAATATTTTGATACTTTATTTCCATATCAATTTTTTGTTTACGTAAAATTGCTTTTGTTCACATACAGTTTTGTATGGGTTTAATTTGAGATATGATTAATACATATTTAATTGTTTCCTTACTCTACACCTAAGAATTAGCCTGATTGTTGACATATTTTCTGCCATTTCCTAATCACACGGGTGGGACCTGTCGGCAGGGGATGCTCACCCCTCCATGGCATATGATCTCACCTCCTATAATATTTAGGCGGTCCCTGTTTGTCTGCTTTTTGTACTTCTGAATGGACTTTTGAGCTTGTATTCCGTTTGTTATCTCCATATATTTTTAAAAATCGGAAAAGAGAAAAAGATATTGTTGCAACCTTTAATGTAATATTCAGATATAACTACATATACGCTGTACGAAGCTAATGAACCATGTATCTGCGTTCATATTTCAACACTATATAAAGTCAGCATTTTATGAAATCTTTGGGCATTACAATTTCCTTGTTAAGGTCTTCCGCTCAGGCGGAAAACCTTCTACTGATTCTGATGGTTAAGATTATTCCTATTATTCTTTTTTTTTCCTAGACGCCAACTTTGAGACCTCGTAACTCGCTCATTTCTTAACGGATTTCGCTCAAATTTTCAGAGTTTTTGGACGCTACAAAACTCAATTTAAATGTTTTCATACATTTCAAAAATTCCCTTCCGCTTTTGAGTTATTTCCCTTTAATTGAAAATTTGGTGCTGTTTGTTTCCAGACAAAGGCTCAGAAACGACAAAAGCTGGAGCAGAATGTCTACTGCATTTAAATACTAGAAGAATTGAAGTTGTGCACATTGGTTTTTCTTTTTCGATTTCTGCTCTCAAAACGGTGCTAGATAGGGGTCAAAAATAAGAATGCCTAAAAGCGCAAAAATTTACATCTATTTCCTTATGTATCTTTTAAACTAAAAATAATTTGTTAAGACATGTTTCACAAATATTGTGCATAATTTTAAGATCTATCATTTGACATCATTAAAAAGGGGCTGGCCCCTCAAATTAGGGGCCAAGGGCGCTCGAAAGTTTTTGCTTTATAACTTAAAAACGGTAAATATTTCGATATGATTATCGATTTGAAATGGGTTCTTTAGCATCTTATTGATCTCATGAAAACGTTATTTTGTTCTAGTCATGTTTTATTAGATGAGCAGAAAACTTTATAGTCCATGTACAGGTAAGTGATTTTATACGGCAAGTGAAGAAGAATTCTATATGCGTACGCGTATAACACGTATAACTGAAATTAACTGGATAAGAATGATATACCTAGCTAAATTGAATGTTAAACTTTGTTGAAATAAGATTTTTAACGTATTCTCTAGCTGGATGTCATACAGATTATTCAGAGACAACTTTCTCCCTGTGTTTAGTGTGAAGAACACGACGGGAGAGAGGAAAAATACTTTTAAGTATTACTATTCAATGTAGCATTATTTATTTTTAAAAAAATTCAAGCTTAAGATAATTCACTGTCATTCAATTCATGCATCGTGAATTTTCCTCGGACCCTGAAAGTTTTGTGTGTACAGTGTGCGTGTTTTGTGTGTACAGTTATCACATGGTTATGAAACCCGTTTATCGATCGCGCATTGAACTGTATACATTCGTGAGGTCAACATTACCGCTCTTTGATTTTTACTAGAGTCCTAGATTTAAGATCAAGAAAACATGTCATTTGCGCTAATCGTAAGAATATTTCTATACACAAATTTTAAGGTTTTCTTGAACATGATTTAAAAGTGTTGAATGTCGGATTCTATTCTTTGACGAATGAATAAAAGGTGCTGCGTTTACGCGCGCTTTTCTCATCTGCTGAGGTATCTATGGACGAGTTCATCGGTTACACTGAAGGGTGACACAGGATGACCTATCGATAACTCTGCCAATTTTGATAGTGATTTTAATTGCACATGTACCATTAACATGATAAATTAATGTTCAATTCTACCCTGTGAAGTCCATTATAGTCTCATTATTTAAAAAAAATGGGGATATTAATACTGCAACTTGTTTTTGATTTGTGCGTATCATGCGCGGATCTAGAGGGGGGGTCGGGGGGGTCAGGACCCCCCTGGAATTTACCAGGTTAAAAAATATATACACTAAAACAAGAAAAAAGTTACCATGGACCCCCCCCCCTGGTAAACGCGAATATGTGTGAAATGGGTATGAAAAGTGAAAATTTGAGGCAATAGAAGTGACCACTAACCCCCCCACCCCCACCCCCACCCCCCACCCCACCCCACCCCACGAAATAGGTTTTTGACGTTTGGGTGAGTTTAGTTTTTTTTTTTTTTTTTTTTTTTTTTTTTGCTTGTCAAGAAATTTCTGGGATTGGATTTTTTTTGACTGGGGTGGACCCCCCCTGGAAAAAATTTCTGGATCCGCGCCTGCGTATGATTCTATTATTGGAAAGGCACACACGTAGTACGACGATTTTTTAGGCCCCGTCTCCCCCTCCTCTTTGAAGTAATTGCAATCGTAACATGTATACGGGCCTATATCAAGTTATTCTAATTGCTTTATATCAGAAAAATTTGCGATGTTGTTTAAATTAGCAAATACCTATAAACATTGCACAGTAAATTGTAAGTGGAAGTGACGTTTCCAATTCTCATGAAAATCGTAAATGAAGCAACTTGGAGATTTGCATGAATTGATACATAACTTATAATTGCATTGTACCGAATGTATTCCTTTTATTTCCTCGAATAAAAAGAATATCACTATGATACGATTCTACGGGTACATGATGGTAACTAAATACATGCCAAGGCCGTAACTAGGCCCAAATTTTTAGTGAGGCAAGGGTGCTGGGCATTCCTAGTTCCGGACGGGGCAAGGGTAGTACCTGATGGCCAGTGATGGGGGTTTCCTTCACGGGGAGGGGATTCTGAAACCTTGGTGTTAGAAAATAAAAGTTTTAATCTTAGAAAGTTTTACGTTTTGAATTGTTGCACGCATGGCACAGTGGTTAGAGCATATACAAACATGCTCTTAAGGATTTCCATCCCTAATGTGACAAAATTCTCTATCCTTAAATGTCTGTCAAGTACATAATACTCTGATATTATATTAAAGCATTTTATAATGGAAAAGGATTGTCCGTGAGAAAGTTTAAAAAATGTCATTAATTAAGCAGTAGTTAATTAACAAAGATTGCATTGAAGTCTATGGGGAAAAGCGTTTTTTTTCAAAATAAAAATTTAGATAATTTGAATATCAATAAATCCTGCGGTGGAAAGATGCATTGAAACATTAAAAATAGAATGACAATTAAAAACAATTTTTTTACCGGCTAATTTTTTTTTAGTTAATTTTTTTTATTAATTAAAAAAGGGGAAATAACTCTTATCAAAGTTCAAGGTCATAAATTAGGACACATCCCACTATACATACTAATGGTAATAAATGGGAAGTATGTCTAAATAAACTGAGTATTCAATGCCTACATATCTGTTATGTATTCAATTTCATTGAATTTCATCCCATTAGGGATTGAATACAGTCGCGAAGTAAGGATTCAATCATTCAGGTCGCGGGTTCGAATCCCACTGCAGGATATAGAGACCGGTCCTTCAGATGAGACGGTAGAAACTGCAGTTTCAAACAATTTGAATTATATTTTACGTGCATTCTTAACGAAAATGTGGCACCTAGTGAGATGAAACATTGACAGAAATTGATACTTGAAATATAAAATATTCATTTAGCATGAAGACACTCATAATTCATAAATTCATCGTAAAACGTTTTCACTTTTCAGAAAACTCTAAAAATTTAGTGAGGCATTTGCCTCACTTGCCTCAATGGTAGTTACGGCCTTGCATGCTGTTTTATACGGAAGAGCCCCCAAAATATATACATTCCGAGCTTTCAGAATACGAGAGAAAAAAATGAATAATAAGAATTTTTTTTAACAAATTCAAGATTGTTTCAGAGAAAGCCATGTAGTTGCATACAAATATTCCAAGCCATTCTTTCGTGTTTATTGGACTAAAAGAGATAATTAAATTTCCTCTCATCGCGATACGTAACCCCCCTTCCCTCAAATGATACGTTTTCATTCAGAGTCGAGAATGTCAGTTGGTTAGTTTGTTCAGGTACGTACAGGTCAGGACTGGTGTTGAAATCCATGATTAATCCATAACCTATTATAATGTTAACCAACAATCATACGCGACTTTTTTTTTATTCACAGGTCGTCAAATAAATGAAAAAAAGATTAGTATGCGTCACTAAACTTTCCTATATATAAACGTTTTAATTTCTAAAATTTGTGCCGATTAGAGTGTTCATTCGAGCATCGAAGTGTATACATGTATTAGTTTCTTTGGGTAAGGGGGGGGGGGTACAGTTTTTACTGCGTTTGATTTCCGGAATTTTGCAATGCTTTTCCGACACTTTTAATAATTTCATTTCTAACATTCATTTTTTTTATTCATTCTGGATTTTTACACTATATTTCAAGCAATTTAAAGTTAACAAAGAAGATGGAATCATTATTTTAATAGAATATATTTGGTTAAATTAACACAAGTGAACTTGTGATGAAAATTTATTAAACGAAAGTCAAGCAATAAAAAGTTAAAGTTTGTTTTTTGAAAAATAAATCAAATCAAGTCACAGAAAACAAAGACAGGTTGTAAAGCTCACACACCGACACACACACAAACGTTTTGGTAACTCGGAATAGTCCAGAGTAAAACTATATTTTCTTGATGACGGAATGTCCTGTACATCTAATGTTCACGTCCGGGATAGTCCACGGCGGATCTAAAAACTCTCTCATACAACATACGGGATTCACTCAAATTTCAATTAACACATTTACGCAATTTATATCATATACATACAAGTCAGACGCTCTTTGATGTAGAGGATTGACACTAATTTTACTATTTACACTCAATTTGATAGGTTAATAACTTAAGCATATGTCAAAAATAAGCATTAAAAATAATTCTTTTCATAAAATTAAATTTTGTTTAAACAATATAAATCACTAGCAGCGCAAAGACAGACTTTTAAAAAAAAAAATCAGAGGTGGAATCAGGCGAATTAAATCCTTTTATGGCACCACCAACCCCGTAACGAGACATCTCATCGAAATGACCGGTCTCCGCGTCTTGAACCTCCAAGAACATGTATTGCATGTTCTTGAATAATATGTATTAATAAGTCTTTAAGGAAATCTCATGTAGGAAACCTGATTTATATTCTAATACCGTAAAATCACAAATTTTCGTGGGGTCAAATTTTCGTGGTTTGAGGAAAAATATTGGTTCGTGGGTATTTGATTTCGTGGATAAAAGACTTTTTAGTAGTTGTGCATATAAAAATTTACATTTCGTGGTGGACATAAATTCGTGGGTCTCTTCATACCACGAAAACAACGAAAATTAAACCACAACGAAAATTAGTGATTTCACAGTATATTCTATTGTGTAATTTTTTTTTATTATTCGTACTTCTCAGTCTATCATGTTCAAATTACATGTATTTATTTTTTAGGGAACATTAAACCTTATTCGTCAGCCAGTCTGTCCATCTGTCACGAGAACTTTAAACTTGATAATAACTATTGAATGAGTTGAAATAGGACTTTGATATTTCACATGAGCATTATTTGTGACATCTGATTTTCAAATATACTGTGATTTTTGACCCTGTGACCTTGATCTTGGAGCTTGACCTACTTAAAAAAATAACATTACTTTAAATTGACCATAACTTTTGAAAGCTTCCATTTTATAAAAATGTATTAATTGTGACAACACCTTTTAAAATTCACTAATTTTTTACCCTTTGACCCTGAAGTTTGACCTGCTTTTCAAAAACATTAACAATACTCATACCTTTTGACTGAGAAGAGATAGGGCTTTTATTTTATCCCTGTGAATTACCTAAGACAACTCTTTTCTAAATACACTGATTTTTGACAACTTGACCTTGAGGCTTGATCATAACTTTTTTAATGAGGAGAGATAGGGCTTTCATATTACACAAACATCACAATGTCATGTACGTAACCTGTGATAAAATCATATCAAATACTAGTATATCATGAACTTTGACCTTGACGTTTATCCGGCTTTTCCAAAATTTAAACATTGCTTAAAATTGACCATAACTCTTTACACATGTATATTAGCTGTGACAAGGCCTGTCTAAAAAAAGGTATGGCTTAAATCATGGAGAGTGTGTTACGGCATTGAATCAAGGTCATTTAGGATAAGATATTTTGACTGGATGCATTGTTTGAAAAAAACATGTGTGAATTTGTCAATACAGTAGCACACAAATGGGGTATGCTCATCACCATCTTGTGTCATGGTGTGACCCAAGGTCATTTTGACAAGGTCAAGGTCGCAAACATTCCTTTACTATCACTTTTTTAATAGTAAAACATAATAAGATGATATCTACCCTTAAAAGATTGCTTTATCATTAGAACGTGACATGACCTTGACTCAAGGTCATTTCTCTCTTTCCGTAGCTCCGACGGAAGACCTACTCGTTGCTTTGCAACGAGCTCGGCTCTAGTTAGTAACTATTATTCATCATTTTTTTGTGTTACTTGTTTCAAAGCGATTGTTGGATCTATAGAACAATCTGTATGACACGCAGCTCAGTCTATATACATTCCCAACATCCCAGTGTTTATTTACATTTCCTCTCCATGTGGTTTAACGGATATATGTGGACACCAACCATATAGGAAATGGTGTCTGTTTTAACAATTCCCTTGATGTAATGAATTGATTTCCTCTTAATAAAGCTGTTTTAAATAAGGTATAAAAAGGATTGCTTCCTTGTGGATAAAATGAACGATGGAAGATACAAGCATTATAAAATGGTGCTTATTTGTTCTGATTTTAAGCAAAAATAGTGATGTATTGGATACATTAGAGAGGTAAGATTGATGTACATTTCACTTTCATTTAATATTGCCTTCATTTTGTATTCCAATCAATTACAAAGTGTAGCTTCAAGAGAAAGCAAACAATTCATTCTAGGAATCATGAGGAGTGTGATTATAATTACTACTTTGATGAGTACAATGCCAGCTGCTTAGGTAAGCATTTGAAATTAATTTTATCTTATTTTGATACTTGGTATGTTATCCTGTGAATAGCACAAAAATAGTTGAATATGTGTTGGAACATTAAAAATAAATATAAATATTAACAATATTTCTAAACAATAGTTCAAATACTGAATCTAGAAATATATTCCTTTTACAATTCCTTATTTTATTTTATGAAATTATTTTAATTTTATATAGAGTGCCCTTTTGGAAGTTTTGGACAAAATTGTATGGAACAATGCATATCAGGTTTCTACGGTCGACTGTGCGGGAATGCATGCAGTTGTGAAGCTCATAAATGTAATCGTGTGGATGGATGCCCAAAAGGTATTACAAGCATTTTTTTAAAGAAGAAAATCTAAAGCTCATATTTTCGTTTTTCATTTATGATGAACTTTGTACATTGGCTTTTGGTGAATATTCATCAAATTCAGTGTTGACAACTAGCGTGCTGGGAAGTGCTGGAATAACCTTAACATCGCCACAAACCTCTGATACAAATCAGGAGATGGTAAAAGAATTCCCACTATCCTGGATATCTACTCAGGGATCAGAAGAATATCTATCATCACAAAACAGTAAACCTTTTAAAATATACACTTCATATTTTTTCTTTTTAACAGCACTTTTAACAACCATGCATCATGCATACATATATTCATGTGAAGAAATTTGCTCTCTCTTCACAATCAATGCAAAACAAAGCAATATTCAACATAGGATTTTTTCTTTCATTTAGAATTTACAAAATCTTATAGTCATTCTGACACCTTTACCGAAAAACATTTCAAGGGGACAACCAAACACAAAAGGAGAGAGGGAAAAACATCAGTCTACTCGAAGAAACCTATGCTTCCTTACCAAGTGACATCCACAACTAAACAACCATCAAATATCTCTAATGAAGAAGATCATTGGATGTTGACTAGCGTACTTCTAATCATTCTTATATCAGGATTGGTGGAACCTCAATTTATCTACGTTCATCAAACCAGTATGTTTTTTTTTATTTCGACAAAATTGAAACTATGTGTTATTATGATATTCTGTCAATATTACATGTAACTTAAGTTCTTTTCGACTTAATCTCTCTTCTACCTAAAATTCTTTTCCAGATGCCCGAATAAAATACTCAATCGATTTCATTCCCGAAATCCAAGATTAGGTAAAGGAACTATGTTTACTTTTAAATGTATATGACAACCAAAACAGAGAGTTACACTATCATAAGTAAAAAATGTAAAGTAATATATGACATAAATATAACAAAATACTCCTTTAATATTTAACTGTATGCATAAACATATCATGAAGGAAAACTTAAATTCTTCTTCTTAAAAGCGTTTTCTTTTTGCAATTTTCTATTCATAAAAAGATGAGACATGTGTCAATATCCAACGAACCAACGACGATATACAGGACACAGACACAGTTGATTCAGAAAGACTCGGAGACTATGATGAAATTCGTCAATCGAAGTTTAATCAAAGTAATACATGTAGCACTAGCATAAGGTCAAGTCCCTCTGTGAATATCAGGAAAACGAATAGTGCTCCTGGTACTGATCATCTGCCTACACACAGCTTGTATGAAAAGATTTCTTTTCATATTGATTATCATGTTTTACAATTCAGAGGGAAACAAGACTTTGCCAGTCCAGATTATCTTTTTGAAGGAAGTAAATCGTCTGGCAATAGAGAGGATGAGTATGTTTTTCTAAGGTCGAGCAGATCTTTAGATTTCCCAACAATGACAGAAGATTTGAAGTTCCATAACGATTCACCTCTTTTGGACAAATGTAAAAGAGAAGAGGAGAAAACAGTAGACCAATCAAACAATCTGCTCCGTTCTTTTTCGGAAGGAAAACTAGAAAGTTTGAAAAATGCACCAACAACAAGGGAGAGCAATCTTACTTTGACTGAAGAAGATTGTCTGCTTGATGAATATCTTGAAGAGACAGAAAGACCCTATAGTGTTGTACATATTAAAAAGTCGAGGCAGGAGAATCTGTTCCGAGAATTTTATCCAGGAGAGCAACGTTAGAAGTTACAAATGTAACAGAAATAACTATATCTAGGCTGTGAATTTATGAGGATGAATAATTCAATTCTGACCAGCTAGAAGGAAACTAAATGATTTTTTTAAAAAAACATTTCAGTATATCTCAGGAATTTCCTTTCAGTGTGAAACATTAACCTGTGAAATACCTGGACATATGACACCTTTGACGATAAGATATAATGGTTATGCATATTTTATTTCCTTATGCTGATACTGTGTACTCTGTAAAAAAATAGGTTTGAAAATACAATGCCCCTACAGAATGTTCTCACTGTTACAGCACTGAAAACTATTTTGTGAATACAATTTCATCTTATCACAGCTTTGCCCGTCTGACAAGAAAAAAGTTATACATTAAACACTCTTACTGAAAAAGTAATGATCATGATGATTGTGACGAAGTTGAGGACCTTCGAAAACTTATTAGTCCCCTACCGGTGAAACCGGGGGGGGGGGGACTATAGGTTTCCTCTGCGTCCGTCCGTCCGTCCGTCCGTCTGTCTGTCTGTCTGTCTGTCCGTCTGTCTGTCCCCGTCAGTCTGTCCCACATGGTTTTCCGCACTTTTTTTTCTAAACGCTTGCAGATATTGAGCTGAATTTTGGTATGTGAGTGTATCTTAATGAGTTACAGATCAAGTTTGAATTTCGCTTCGCTTCATTGATTTTTGACAGAAATATGGCATTTTGAATATATTTCATAATCGCTAAATTAAGATCGGGTTCGAACTGCGCTAACTTCCGATTGTCGACAAAAGGAAAATATGAAGCGAGGAAAAGACGGTGGAGAAATGGGTTGAATTTTCGTCTTAATGTGGATTATTTTATTAGTTTTAAGGCATTTACAACTTGAAAATCTTTCAGTTTTACCTTGGACATGACGTTTGCTTATTATTAAATGACATCCTGAAGAAAAAGGGGAACCCGGTAGGGGACATGTATTGCTTATGCAATACTCTCAGAATGCTTGTTTTAAAATGTTTTGAATAAAGTGAATACCGATCCTTAAAGTAACATCAGGATTTCATCAATATTATGGATTCTGTCGAAGATTACGCCAGATGATGGGCCAGATATGAAGAAAAAAGACGTTAATACTGTCAGAACGGATTAAATGCATCAAATCTATGTTAAAATCGCGTATCAAAAGATTGAGAAGCAATATGAAAATAAACATTTATTCTTTTGTACTCAACAATCCAGCAGTGAAAAACGAATTAGATAGATTACATGATCAGTACCTGCTGACAAGGCAGGTAACAACATTATCTTCGTTTGTGATGCTCATGGTTCGAATCCCATAATGGGACGTTGGGACCGTATAAATCGAGGCACTAACACGAAAAAATCTATTCCTGCTCAATGGCCCGGGGTGCCTAGTATATATCAAAATTTGCAGCTCTCCACCAGCAAGTGGTGGCGTCTGCATATGAGAGAAAAATTCTTGACAGAGATGTTAGACAATATGCATGTACAATCAATCAATCAATCAATCAAAATCATATGTCAGTTTTGAATAATCTTAATATCCCAAAGAACAAAAATTAATTTGAATTTTGCATTCCAAAATGTCATGTAAAATCCTTACAAACAAGGATATATAGCGGGTTCGAGTAAATATTCAACCATGCTCCTTTCTTTATTCCTCATTAAGATTGTAGGAGTAGTAAAGGAGAAAAGTGGTGCATATCATATGTGGATGCACAAAAAATTCCAAGAGACTCAAAATTTTGAAATCACACGATTTTACTAAAGGCAACAGCTTAACAACGGTTTTCAGCTTTATACAAACCTATTCCCCACGGTGCAGACTTATCTTTTATCATCTACAGCTGCTTTTTCAATAAAAATGGAACTCGTAAATTATCTTACCTTGTAATTTGTCATTTGCAGAAATACTCTGTTAAAAACATTCTTATTCCACACACAAGAAATCTGAAGTGGATACCAAAAAGATGCTTGAGTTTTTGATTTTCTGGTTTTTTGGAGACCAGGTCTTCCAGCAATCTTTTGGAATTCAAATGGGTACCAATTGCACCCATTATTAGCAGATCTGCTTCTGTATTCACACGAAATAGAGTTTGTTAAAAAAAATTACTTAATTCCTGATAAAAAAAACATTACATACGAGGGTCATTCAAAAAATACGTAGACAGTATTTCTCATTATTAAATAATTTTTACAAAATATAAGATCAACACAGTTTTATACGTAAAAACATATATTTAATCGATGTGCAAAGTTTCATTTCATTTCATTAAATGGAACTCATGTCAGCCAGTTTTAAGAGCAACATGTTTTATTGCCACGGAGCATGGTTAATAACATTGTAACGTCAAAAACAACATCGAGAAAGTTTTTCAAACTTACGCTGTTTTTATTCCATTTATACACGGCTTGGAGCGTCTTCCCCATTAATTAAAACGTTTCCGTAGCTCTTGACACCTAATTTGCTGTCAATTATTTGAGTAACTTTAGTTAGATTGTCATTGTTTTCAAATTCTTTAACTTTTTTGACAAGATTTTGAACTATAAACTGTTTCTGTGCAGACCGTCCATCGCCCAAGTCAAAGTCTCCATTACTCAACGACTGTATTTTCCATTAAAACCAATGCAGGGCTCATATTATGTATATTTCATGGTTCCTTCAGCATTTTGAGAGTTTGTTTTAAAGGTTTCCCGAAAACAAAACACATTTTTTAATGCTTCTCGCTGCTCCGTGACGTCCTTCGACGTCATGGTTTTTTGCTGTTTTTAATCAAGTCTATCTGTCTTTAGAAATTGATATCTTTTAAACTAAGAAAGGTATTTCATTACCTTTTAGCTTATGACGTAATAAAACAAAATTAAGTTTCAGTATTTAAATTTTGTTTCCATAAAGTGCTATTTATAAGACTAATGGCTATAAACATTTGAAGTGTATTGTCATTAAATAACTCAATTTTGACCCTGCTCCGTGAACCCGTTTTTGCCGTCTTAAATCTTCAATAATTGTGATAAATATCAAAATATATTCTAATTTTTTTGCTCAAAATATTTGAATCTGTTGTTCAAATATGTGTACCAAGTTTGGTTGTAACATGACTTTAATTAAAAAAGTTATTTAAAAAGTCTACGAACTTTTTGAATGACCCTCATAAAACTAAATTCTAAATCATTGGATAATTAAAATTGGAAACGAGACCGTAAATGATTAAATGATTAAAACAATACTTTTTTTTAGAGTTATCGTCGCTAGTTTATAAAACATTTGAGCTAAAATACTAAATTATTCGATAGATATGAACATAGATTAGGAAGAATAGAAAACAAAAATAGACGTCATTTAGATGGAAAGCGTTATAATTTTTTTCAGATATCCAATGACAAAGGTTAATGGCTATCGTCGCATTCTTTATTTGCTTTAACAAACTTGACGTTTTTCGCAAGAATGATCGTATTTTTGATAATTGATGTAATCAATTCATGTTGTTGTATAAATACGTTAATTTACATCGGGTTCGAGGTTAGTCTATATGATTACAGGCCACCTACTTTTAGCGCCTTTCTTCTACCCGACACTGACGAGCATAGACGTACCTCCGTCCCTCTCCGGTGTTCTCGGGTTTGAGGCCAGTCTTACCCTTGGTAAGCTTGATTATATTTAGTATATAGAAATATACAACATTGGCGACGAGGATAATTCGGTTATATATATATTTTTTCTGGCCAGGTGAAATTTACATTGTTTACCGTAGTCACTCAGCCATTGGCGCCAAATTCAAAACAAAACACAATTCGATTTTTCGTTGTTTTCTGATTCTTTTCGTTTTCACAATTTATTTCATATTACAATCACTGGTTGTTTACACAACTAGTATTTTTTTTGTTTGCTTGGTAGTATTTTTTTTCTCACAATGGGTTCAATCAATTTGCAAACAGCTTCTGAATTTGAAATCTCAAAGATCTTAGATCATCGTACCATAACTGATGTTATAGGAATTAGAAAACGTTACGAGTTAAATGCAAATATCCTGGGTAAATGTACAGATGTATCAGAGAAACAATGGAAAAAATGGGAAGACAATGGAGTAGTGTCTTTTGGGCGTGCTACTAGTTTCGAGTCCGATGTATTCTATGGCATGAGAGATCATGATACAAGTATGAAAGAGTTGATTGTTAAATTAGAGAGACAGGAAGAGCAGTTGTAATTAGAGAGAGAGAGAGAGAGAAGAAAGAAAACATAGTTTGCTTTAGAACAAGAAACACAACAGAAAAAATGGTTAAGTGCTATGCCACCAGATAATATTTACACAAGAAAACACTCTGACAATAAACAATCAGACACAAAACAAAACAGAAAAAGCAAAAATCAAGAAACCAAAGACACACATATTCATTCAAGATCATGCATGTTTGACAGCACACATGATGACAACACAAGAGGTAGGAAGCATCTCAGAAAACCAAGATATCAGTCCTCTTCTTCCTCCTCATCTTCACGATCCTCCTCTTCTTCTTCCTCCAGTAGTGACTCTGACTATGACAGACGCCATCACAGACACAGACAAAAAAGCCGCAGTCCAACATCAAAATTACACACATTTAGTGGTGACGGAAAGATCAGCTGGGACACATTCATCACACAATTTGAAAAGGTAGCCGACAGACATGATTGGGGAAAAAAGAAACGTACTGACAAATTGTTTACTAGTTTAGAGGGGGAAGCCTTAGAATATGTATGTAAACTGGATCTAGACAGCTACAAAAAGATTAAAAAGGAAATGAGTAGGAGGTTCAATACTAAAGAAAACCCAATCTCAGCTAGACGCAAGCTGCAGTACATGAAACAACATGAGGAGGAATCACTTCAACAATTTGCACAAAGAGTTCATTTCATTACCATCGATGGCTACAAAGAACGGGCAAAAGAGCAGTCAATCAAATATCAACAGAAAACTTCCTTAGAGGATGCAGGGATAAAGAAGCTGCCAGGACAGTGATGGAAAAGAATCCCAAGGACATCCATGAAGCTCTAGATCTCATGAGGACATCAATCGCAAATCAACAAGCAGTTTATGGATCAAGCAAGCCCTATTATCACAGACAAGTTTCATTTGAACCATCACCAATACAACAAACAAAAAAGTTGGAACAAATGGAAGACAAAATTTTAAAGCTTACAGACATGGTCTTCAGTATTAAAGAAACACTGCATGGCAAATTATCCAATACTGGGTTTTCAAGAAATTCACCAAGGTTTGAATCTAGGTCAAGGTCAACCAGTCCTATAAATTATGGTCATCCCTTCAGATCTAACAGTCCCTTCAAAAGCACTCAAAATTCAATTAGATATAGAACACCAAGTCCATTTAGGTCTACTCCAACAAAACCACTGTCCTCAATCAATTTCCCTAATTCTTCAGAAAATTTAAACTCCAGAACAACTGACAATAGCCTGGTTAATGATGAACAATAAGGTCAGAATTTTCGAGTAAACATAAATCAAATTTCAAATGGTTTGACTCTGGAGATTCCTTTTGTTGTCCATGGCTTCAAACTACAGCAGTTATTGACACAACAGCTATGGTGACTCTGGTCAATTAAGGTATTTTCCCGGGTGAAAGCAATTCCACTCTTACTTCTAAAAACATGACACTCAAAGGTTTAGGTGGAAATGAAATAACAGGGCAACTGTACAAAAATGTCTTGTGTCAGATAGGATCTCAATCATATTCTATCGATATGTGTGCAGTTGACATGAAAGATACAGTAATTTTGGGGTTAGACTTTTTAGAGGCCAACCAATGTGTTATTGATCTCAGGAAAAAAAATATCTTAGAAATTGGCAATCAAGCAATCACAACAAATATAAGAAACATACAAGGTGAACAAATCTTGGTTGCAAGGGTAACTGTTAAAAGTAGAACTATCATACAAGCAAATTCAGTGGGGTTTGTCAGTTGTGCTCTACATAGGCCCTTAGACTCCAATTTCATAGATTCTTCAGAATTTCGGTGTTCTTCAGTTCTGGGTGAAGGTGAGACTCTGAAAGTGAAGGTTGTCAATGACTCAAACAAAACTGTAAAATTTAAAGTAGGTCAACACATTGGAAATGCAGAGCCAGTTGAAGACGTGACAAATAAAATAGATCCTCAACTTTTCATTAACAGAACTTCCATTGACAATAGCACACCCACAAATCTAGCCCAACCTATCCATAATCAAGATCTTTTTGATAAGTCAGGTGAAGGGGTAGATAAAGAGCAGCTTGAAATGCTAGGATCTTTGTTACAAGAAAATTCAGACATATTTTCCTGGGGGGAATTAGATCAAGGGTATTGGAATGGTTAAAAACACAGTGTGGATACAGGAAACACCCCTCCTGATTCCAAGATTCCACTAAGTAATAGATCAGACAATTTCTCTTCACCAAATATACGTTGTAAAGATGAACATGAGCAGGGTGATGTCACTAGTAATTCCACTGAGACTCAGGTAACTGATTTGTCTGGTGAAGAAACTGGTGGCATCACTCCATCAGAGGTTTCACCAGCTTTTGAACCTCCGCAAGATGTTGCTTCATCCTCTAAGTCCTACAAAACACAAAATACTAGCACTACAAGGACAAGAGGGGGGAGAATAGTCACGACTTCCAAATACCTGAAAGATTATTGTAAATAACTGATGACAACTATTTTTATGCTTGATAAATGTACATTTTCAGATAGATCTTTTAAAACTTTTCAATTTCTTGTAAAAAGTTGACTGTTGAAAGAAGTTCACACTTTATCAGCAAATTATTTTTACACAAGCATCACGATACCTCAACATTCTCGCACTTATTCTTGTTCTTATCTGCAATTAAAATGCCAAAAAATTCTGTTAAATTGTACTGTGTATATATTATTTCTTTTACGCCGCCATTTCGTTTACATGGATGCACTCATTTAGATGTTTACACATCTCGAGTGTAACATGTATCAGATTTCATTTTTATCTTTAAAAAAAAAAATAATGAACTATTTTGGATGTTTACACATCTTTTCTGGTTGATTGAAAAAAAAAATGTGTCTACAAATTTGTAATTTAAATGTATAAAATACTTTACCTTGCCGTTTTGTGTAAACGTTGTATTTTTCTGTCCTTTAGCTTTGTAGAAGAGTTGTACCATTTTAAATTTAAACCAGATGTACTAAATTTACGCATGTAATTTGATATGTAAATACTTTTCCTATATGAACGGGGGGAATGTAGTATAAATACGTTAATTTACATCGGGTTCGAGGTAAGTCTATATGATTACAGGCCACCTACTTTTAGCGCCTTTCTTCTACCCGACACTGACGAGCAGAGACACACCTCCGTCCCTCTCCGGTGTTTTCGGGTTTGAGGCCAGTCTTACCCTTGTTAAGCTTGATTATATTTAGTATATAGAAATATACAACAATGTGTAATTAAAATTCAATTAGAGGTAAGTGACATCTTAGAGGTGTGACAGACAATGTTTCATGCTTAAATGGATTGCTTTGTATTTTTTAAAAACACAATACATCTTGTTCCAATATTTTTAAGATCATTATATACCAGCTTTCTTCCTGGATAAAATATCCTTACACACTATTTGTGTGAATTGTAATTGATGACAATGAGTACATAAATGTTTTCTTTTTGCAGTAAATTTAATACTTTTAATTAAATTTTTAATGATTCTTTAGGATTGGTTAGTCGCGTTGCATCAATCAATATATTAACCCTAAAGATAATACTGCACTGGTGTGTATAATTAGAATAAGGAAGTTTTTGCTATTTTTTTTTATTTTGCTAAGCCATAAATTTTTTTTAAAAAATGATTTGATGGTGCTTCCGTCGTCTGAATGCTCTTCTCCATACTTCAAATTTATTACAAAGTACAATCAGAGCAGAATATTTCCTGGTATTTGTTAAATATGAAATTATCTATGTTGAAAAGGTTCAAGTATCGAACTATTAATTATAGAGCTATGAGAATTCCCCTCTAATGACAGAACAAGTTAAAGGACAATTAAAAGTGGAAGCCTCTTGACTGCTATTAAAAACACGAATGATCTACAATAATTATCAATATTGTCCAAAGTTCTTAATTTATTTTAGGTTATCTCTTGTTCTTTTTCACGTTCATTGAAACTGCCAATTAATTGAAAGGCAAAGAGCAGTTAATTATAACTTTTTAAGATGATTTCATTAAGACTTTTAAATAAGAAAAAGAAATTAAATGTCTGAAGAGACCCACACTAGAATCTCCATTGAAGAAAAGCAAAATACATCTTCATTCAATGATAGAACAACTTAATTTTTAGTAACATACTACATTTATTTTATCCTGCAACTACCCCTTGCATTGAACTAATAAAGGTAATTCTTAAACAAAAGCTTTATTCGTTCTAAAAAAGCTTTGTGCACACATTTCCAAAATCTAAAAGGATTTTTACGTCGTTTGTATTGCAAAGTTTACGCAATGGTGTTTTATTGTAGAGATATAAGTAAATCAGTTGAAAATACCCGGTTGCTCGTTTAGAAAATCTCATGTAAAATTATAATATTGCATTAAAAAAAAACAAAATGCATGGATAGTGTCTTGAAATATTAACAATTTAGTCTCAAGTCGAAAACATCATAAAGGCTTGACAAATCTCGCCCTTAATCACTTTTCTTATCCTCGCCAAAATATTTAAAGACAGCAACACTGTCTTTTATTTTATATATTGTATTTTATATGATGTGTTTATTTTAGCTTAAGCACACAATGATAAAGTGTTTTGTGATACCTTTTAATTTTTTGACACATTTTCCATTGGCTTTCTTATAATCAATAATTTATGAGAATAGCTCGTTCCGCCAACAAGGTGACGTAAAAACACCAAAGGCGCCCAATATCTCTGAGACAAGCGAAAGTGATTAAATTGAGGTGGTTACCGCCATGACATGGCTGCTCCCGCTCAGACGATTTTGACTATTTTCTAAGTGTTTGGGGCCCCCAATTGTACTGAAAATTTCAGAAGACTCTATTCTTGTCACCAGGAATATACTCCTTGGACCAAGTCTTTGGAAAATTTGTGTATTTGTGCGTTCAAATTCATCTATTTCTAGGACATGGTAACTAATCAACCATGAAATTCCTTAACAGTGTACTGCGCTGTTCATTCAAGCAGATAGTGAACACTTACTCTAATCGTAACGGTATTGTCTTGGGTAGACAGAAATTGAGGCGCGGATCTAAGGCTGGTAGATGTTTCAGGAGGAAAATAACTGTCATAACTGGGGTATGTGACAATTTCTATCACCAACGACAATCATTTGCTAACTTGAATAATTTAGCAGCATGTCATGACAATTCTATAATGACATTAATTCAATAGTTTCGGCATGTCGTCCTGTTAAGGCTGAATCATATAGATCGGTGAACTATTCCAATCTTATTTCAATTCAGCTGGAAAGGCCTATAACATCTGTGAAAAAGTTCAATCTATATACTTTGAACGCTCGATCAGTGAAAAACAAATCATTGATACTATGCGATCACATTGTATCTAACGGTATTGACGCCCTAGCCCTAACCGAAACATGGTTATGACATACTTCACGTCCCCAGAAAGAACCGTAGCGGTGGTGGTGTTGCTTTCATATACAATAAAAATCTTCGTACTACTCAATTACAGTTAGACAATTCGTTCAATTGTTTTGAGCACATGGAATGTACGGTATTTACACAGAACTTGAAAATTCGTATATGTATTGTCTATCGTCCACCGTCGCAAAAACACTCTGAATTCTTTGAAGAATGGTCGCAATATTTGAGTCGTCATGTTGTATCATCCGACGAACTCATTATTACCGGCGATATGAATTTCCATCTTGACAAGGCTACGGATCCAAACTCTAAAATGTTCATGAACTCGCTTCGAGAGCACGGGTTAACACAACATGTAATGGATCCTACTCACGTGCGTGGACACGTACTTGA